GTTGTCAAACACCTGCTGAATGATCAGCCCAAAGGAGAAGGGCGAGATGTTCAGCATGTTCAGCAGTGTGGCTTCGCTGGCTCCCACTTTGTCTCCAGTCTTAATCAGCTGCACATCACTCTGAAGAACAAGGTAAAAGTTGGCAGTTAACACCTGGACATCTAGCAGGTGCAAGGCAACCAAGCCCTGACCACTTGCCTGGCCAGCACTGGCAAGCCAGGTCCACTCACCAGGATTTCAATGGTGCCTCTGGAGATTTTAGTGGTGATGCCTAAAGCCTGGAAGAAGGAGGTCTTCTCGGGCCCCAGACCAGTGTTCTGGGCTGGCACAGTGACTTCACAAGGGGCAATGGCACCAGCACGGGCAGCAGCTGGCACCTGAACAAAAATAAGAAACATGAGAAGTCTTTCCTCCACAGATACAACTTGAGAATAGTCCATTTTACTTTTAAGGAGCCAAAAGTAGTGATAAGGTCTCTTTAGCCAACCTGATTCTCCCCTTACCTTATTGGCCAGCAGCATGTCCCTGATCTCAGTGAGGTCCTCCTTGGTGAACACAAAGCCCACATTGCCCCGGATGTGAGGCAACAGTCTGCAAAGAGAAGTTTACAGGAGATGGTCACCTTTCAGCACCATTCTTCTCCAGGAAAAAGGAAAAGGGCAGAAGAAGGACAAAGATACCCAGAGAATTAATTAACTGACTTCTCCAGAGCTGGGTTGTTTTCCAGGTGTCCCCGGATAGCCTTGCGCATCATGGTGTTCTTGCCCATCAGCACCACAGCCTTCCCGCGGAGGGACATGCGGATCTGCTGCATCTGCTTGGAGCCCACATTGTCTGCTCCCACAATGAAGCATTTTGGATAATCATCCAAAAGTTGCTACAAAAACAAGTCAGAAACAAGCCAAGTTTAACAGGAGAAAAGAGGAAAAATTTCAGGAGAAACCAAATCCCACAATGGCTGCTTTCCATCTCACTCCGTCTCTTCTATGCTTTTGAAGTGACTCAGAGATTGGGACAATTATTCCCACTAGGAGCCACCAGAGCTGTCACACTGCCAGAGTTGTCAAAGATTTGCTTGCTGAGTATGAACGGTGAAAATTAGGTTTGTACATTCAATCAAAAAAATCTTTAATTTTAGCTTTCATTTTTAATTTTCCCCCACTATGAGGCGTGTTTCTGATTCACTAAAATGGCTGAGTTAACAGAAAAACTGTTCCAAATAAGGGTAGATTTACAGCATTCAAAACAAGACATAAAACAAATACAAAACATTACTTGTACAATCTAGATTGTGGATATATGATTATTGTACAATTCTCTTAAGTGTTTTGTGTGTCTGAAAACATTCACGATAAACAAGGGAGGCTACAATAAACTACATTCCACAATGCAGCCAAATGCCTGAAGAGCAGCACGGTCAGAATTTCTGGGCAGGGAAAACCCACCTTAAGTCTATCAAGAAGATAACATTCATTGGACATTTAGTTTCTTGATTGACAGGACCTAAATATGCAACACTTTGCCTCTTTATAATGAGTCACTGATTGCCTCAGACCTTCCCAAAGATGGAGGCAGATGAGTAGAAGTATGATGAGCATATCTAGAGGCCAGACAGACCTAGGTATAAATGCTGTCATCTCAGGAGCCACTTAACCCGCCAGCGCCTGTTTATCTGCAACAAGGGTGGGAGGGGGGCCGCAGATCTCGGGAAATTGTGAAGATTAAATGAGATCTGGCAATAGTCTAACTCAGTAGCTGGCCCCGAGTAAGCGCTCAGCACATGGCAGCTGACTGTCCCTGTAAGTGCCCGGGGCCGAGGCGGTATGATGGGCGGCCGCGACCCATCCCGCACTTACGATGATCTTAAGGAAGTAGTTGGACTTCCAGGTCGCCCTGTCTTCCCTGGGCATCACGGCGGTGCGTCAGGGATTGCCACGCAGGGTTTAAAGACGATGTCACTGAAGAGAGAGAGGGAGCTCAGACACCCCGACACCGGCCCCACGCGCCGCAGGGCTCCAAGCCCGAGGCCTACGGGGAGCGTGCCCCGCGTGAGCGCCTGCCGCCCGGCCTGGGGCGGCCGCTGCCGCCGCCACTCGGGGAGCGCGAGCCGCCGCCGAGGCGCCAGGCAGGATAGGCCTGGACTCCGCGGCCCCCAAACCCACCCTCCTCCCCCAAAGACCCCTCCAGGACTCCCATCCCTCCCTCCGCCGGGGCCAGGAGCGTCTCCCGCAGCCTCACGAACCTCTCACGAGGACGCCTGGCTAAAGGAGGGGCCCGCCCCGGCGCGCACCTTTTATCGTCAACGAAAGGACCAATCAGAAGCCACGGGTAGCGCCCGTGCCTATTGGCTGGCGCGAACGCCTGTCAGGTGAAGCAGACCTGATATAGACAGCCATTGGATGATGTCGCTGCCACTCCAGCCAACGGGAAGCCGCCTTTAAATTAGGTAGTTAAGGGAGGCTCTGCCTCATGTTGGAGGAGCTTTTTCAGAGCTGCTTCCCTCTGCTGGACCGGAGCTGCTTTTGTGAAGGAGCTAGAGTTTGTGAACTGAGTGCACGTTTACCCCTGCCAACCGGCCAAGTCACAAGCTAAAGAGTATGACGTGGAGCTGAGAAATAATTGCACATGTCTAGAAACAGAATGGTCTCTTGTGTCCCCTACAGTTTGTTCTTCCCCCTACCAAAGCAGAGGGATCCTTTAAAACCTGAGTGAAATCATTTCCTCATCTGCTCAAAATTCTTTAAAGGCTTCCTATTTCCCTTGAGTAAAAAGGCTAAAACTTAAACTGCCCACAAGGCCCCTACATGATCGGCTCCCCACTTCTACCGCTATAATCTCATCTCCTATTTTCCTATTGACTCATTTCTTTTCAGCCAGACGCTGCTCTTTGCTGCTTTTCCAGAGCATGCTCCCACTTGAGGGCTCCTGCACTACATATTCCTTCTTCCTGGAAGGCTCCTTGCCCATATCCACACAAGTAACTCATCTCCAACAAGTCTTGGTTCAAATATCACCTACTCAACGAGGCTTACCCTGATTGCCCTATTTAAAGTTACCAAAAAGTCCACTCCCACTCACCCTCTTACTCTGTTCTATTTTTCAGTAGCACCTACACCTTCTAACACACTATATAATTTATTTCTTACATTGTTGTTTTTCTGTCTCTCTCTGCAAGAATGCAAGCTCCATTTGTCTTGTCCCTGGCACACAGTAGGCATATAATAAGTGTTTGTTGAATGAATGAATGCCGAGTTTGCAGTCAGATGACCTGGATCCATTTACTTGTTCTGCCACTTCCTAGCTGTGTCATCTTAGGAAGTGATTTCACCTTGCTGACCCTCTGTTTCCCTTTTCTTATCTGTAAAATGGGGATAATGCTAGTATCCACATTGTAGAGTTGTATAAGGATTACGTGAGATATGTGTTAAGACTTAACACAGTTCTTGGAACATAGGAGGAAGTCACTAAACGTTAGCTCAACACTTATTTGAACAATTGTGCTATATCAATAAATTTTTTTTTAATGAATGAGCTTAGATCCTAGGGCAAAAGGAATATTTTCCCCTATCTCCACCCTTTTCACTTGACCAAGTTAGAAATCTCTGTATTTTGTTTTAAAGCCTCCTGGTGCCTCTGCTGATGAGCCTGTTTAGAGAACTGCTGGAGTTGGTTACTGCTAAGATCCCTTTTTGATGACAACGTATTACTGCATGCTCAGCATTGTGCTAAGCACTTTCTGCACATCACTGCTGTTAATCGTTGCAACAATCCTGAGGAGGTACAGTATTAGTATTTCCGTTTTATCGATAAGAAAATTCACAGAATGGTTAAATAATTTGCCCAAGTCCCTCTGCCAGTAAATGATGGCTTCAGAACTGAAATCTAGGAGCAAGTTCAAAGCCCATGGCCCTTACTATGTTATAGTTCCTTCCAAACACTGTCTCCCACTAAACACACTTTTCCAAGTACATACATACTCCCATGGTACCTTTCCAAGGACATCCTGGCTCTGATTATATAAATATCATCTCTAGTTGTAGTATATCAATATAATGGAATACCATGAAGCCATTAAAAAATGATGCAAATCTATATTTATTGACATGGGAAAATATTCACAAAGTACAGTCGAGTGAAAAAGCAAATTACAAGGAAGTGTACCACATCCATTTCTAAAAGTAAAATAAATCCAACATGGGCTGGAAGAATAAACCAAGTCATTATCTTTGGGTGAGAGTTGAAGGTAATTTTCACTTCTGAGCTCACTGTGAAATGGTCCGAGTTCAGACTAGAATTCAACATGCTGCTTTTGGAGGACTATTCCAAACAACAGGGAAACTGAAGCCGCAGCTCGAGGGGAACAAAGCTGTCCAGGAAGCTCTGGGTGCCCAGCGCTGGAATTTCGGCTCTGACAAGAGCAAGGAGGAAGCATGCAATATGGACATGACCACGAGGGGGCAGTAGAGACCCATCCTCAACCGTAAGTCCACCTTCAGCTGGGATGGTTCTACACTCAAGGTGTGCCAGCACATGGGGGTGGGGGTGTCTGGTCAACGGAGGAACACAGGCAGAGGGAAGCCCCAGGTTCACATCCTGTGTCTGTGCTCACTCAGAGGCTTGCCTTGGGCATGTTGGTTCTCCTCTCTGAACTTCTTTCCCCATCTGCAAATGAAGATAAGGCCACCCACAGGCCCATGTGAGGATACCCTCAGGGAATCCACCGCAAAGCACCTGGGGCAGGGCCTGACCCACGCAGGGCCCAAGAACACTGCTCCCCAGCCTGCCCCCACCAACTGCTGAGGAAAGAGCAAAGCTCACACAGGAGCCAGGTGGACCTGCGACCACAGACAAGGGTCGCAGGGATCCCATCCCCAGGGATTTTTGCCTCAAGTAAGGGAACATCAATGATTTACCCTCAAACTGTGGTCCTAGTGAGTCTGGGGAGGGTTCAGTCTCCTGAGTTGCTATCTCAGACCACAAAGAAAAGGCACTAACACAGGTGAAAATAATGGCAAACTTTATTGGCATAAATCACAGGAACTGAAATGGGGAAAAGCCAGGTTAAAAGTTTACAGAGAAAAAAAAATCAAATCATCAAATAGCCACTGACCCAGAGGGTGGACCCCAGAAACCCCAGTCCCTGGAAGAGAGGGGCCTGGGGCAGGTCACTGTAAACAGAGCAATAAGGCCTATGGGTGGAAGTGGAGACATCAGACCTGCAGAGGGGCCTGGCTGACCTCCCCAGACCTGGGCTGCTCCCAGCCCTGCCACGAAGGAGGGACCCTCTTCTGAGACCCCAGCACACTCAGCCTCTGCCTTGAGGCTAGCAGAGTGGTCTGGATCTTCCTCACCTCAGACCCCACTGGGGTCCCCTTCCAGTGACCTCCTAGGAACCCCAGGTCTGCCTGCTCCTGTTGCATCCTTGCGGGAGAGTGCTCTGGGGTTTCCCATTGCTTCAGCAGGATCCTATCCCTCTGCCCAGAATCCTATCAGGCCCCCTTGCAACAACCTGGGCCCTTTCCCCAGACCCCCAGTCTCCAGGGAGGGCAGGAAATTGGGGGAAGTGATGCGCCCAGTGGAATCAACAAGACCAATGGCCCAAATCAGACACCAGCTTTCCTGAGAAGGCAGAAGAGAAGTGGTGAGGAGGCCGAGAATGTTCAGTGGGTTCTCTGTTGTCAAAAAGTTCCCAGGGGAGCAGACGCTCCTAATGGCTTAGACAGACAGGAAAGTACCCTCAAAGTGTACTTTCCCCTTCTCCTCCCTCAGGAACAGGACGGATGAGGTTCAGAATTCTAGGAGCCAAAGGGCAAGACACCCTTAAGCCAGTTTCAGTTAAGAGCTTGCTGGCCTGGGTAGTAAGGAAGGGGTTTCAAAATACAGCAGTTTATAAAACAGTCCCGGTGAGCCGTGAAGTTAAAGAAGGGGAGTCTCAGAGCTGCTCCCAGTTCACCTGCTTGTGCTAAGAAAAAATAAAATACAAATTGCTCCCCCCACCCCAAGCCCTCAGTACAGGTAAACTCCATACCACAGCCACTGTCATCAACAGGACCAGTGGCGGTAGACAAGGAGGAGAGTACAAAAGGGGACACCTTTAAAATTTCTTCAAAATCATTTTGTATAGAGAAGTAAAAGCAACGCAAATGATACGAATTCAAACCTCAGTGTAGAAATCTATCAAAGTCGGTACAGTGTCCAGGCATGGGGTGACTCCCCACCTCACGCCATCCCCGGAGACGGAGGAAGTGACTATAAAACATTATTGCTGGAGAGGCCTTTCTCAGTAGAACCAGAGCAGTTATGGGAGGGTAGGGGGCAGTTGCCCAGGCCTGGGGAGACTGGAAGGGCAGGAGGAGCACAAGGAACCTTCCGTGGCCCCTTGGGCACTTCCACCCTTGAATGGATGGATTTATGCTGGCATTGTCTGGAGGGAGCCGGGTGTCCCCCAATACTCTCAGAACAAAGATAATTAGGTCGAGGGGGAAATAAGGATAAAGAGAGACCCCATCTGACCCCGCTTACCCTCCTCCCCTGGCTCCACTGCCAAAATGAGTAAGAGATGGCTCCAGTGTGGGGTGCTGGCCTGGCCAGGCGAGTTTGTAGGGACACACGTGGTGTGGGTGGGGTGGGGTCCTCCAGTCCCCATCGCCAGGGAGGATGAAGAGCTGGCAGCCTGGGGAGAGCTGCAGGAGGAGGAAGGAGGCCCAGAGGCTCTGGCGGGGGTAAGAAAAGCCGGCAGGGCCCCTTGCGGCCCTCTTGCCACCCTGCACCAGCTGAGGACACAGTTTCCAGTTCCAGTGGGGTTTGCCCCTTTGCCCCTGGGGGAGGCCTCTGGGTCACAGTAGCAGTCGGGGAGGCTGGGCCGGGGGAGGGGCAGATGAAGGGACGAGGGCGCCTAGCAGAAGAGCTTGAGGAAGCAGTTCTGACAGTAAGGCTTGTCGTTCTGCTCCTTGAAGGTGCCCTTGTTGAGCTGCTTGAGGCAGAAGGCACAGACGAAGTGCTCCGGGTGGAACTTCTTGGCCATGGCGGTGATGCAGCGGCCCGTGATGGGCTTCTGGCAGCCGGAGCACAGTGAGCCGCGCCGCTCGTGGTAGTGCACCTCACAGTAGGGCTGCCCGTCATGCTCGAAGAAGCTGCCGTTGACAAATGGCGTGAAGCATTCCTGCAGGCAGAAGCGGGGGCGGGTGGAGGGAAGGGGGCTCAGGCTGGGGCAGGGGGGCTAAGGCAGCTCCCAGCGTAATGGCAGGAGACAGTCACGGTCGCACACTCCTAACGACCCCCACTCACTAAGCATCTCCTATGTGCCAAGTGCCGCACTAAACACTTAATGAATTCTCCCAACAGAGGTGTAGGGGTTAGGTGACTTGCCCAAGGTCAGGCAGCTACTAAGTTGCACAGCCTGGACTCAAACATAGGCCTGACTCCCAGGCCCTTAGCCAAGTGGCTGTAACGTGTGCTCAGAAACCTTGGTGCTGAGAAAAGGGTTCCGTGGTCCAACTTTGCATCCTAAGTTCCCGTCTGGAGATTCACGTGTACACTTAGGTATACAGTGAACAGTGTTTCCCAAATTTATTTGGTCAGAGGGCCCTTGCCAGATCCCTAATAACATCTGTGGGCCCCTGTTACCCCCTAGAATGCAGTCTGGAAACCACTGCCTACTTCCATTGAGGCGGCTAAATGCTTGCATTACCCCACTTAATTCTCACATGCGCTTCTCCCGAACATCACCAGCTGCAGGGCCAAGACAAAGGACAAGGCTAGGGACACGTCCCTCTCGCTCCTGATTTCTCCCAGCCTCAGTATGAGCCCAGGACCCACTTGACTTGAGGAAGTGTACCTGCTGCCTGCTCACCCCATTAATAACCCCAAATGAGGCCACCAAGTTGGATCCAGAGAGCACCAGGAGGAGGCCCTTCTCTCCCCACCGCCTGCTCCCGGCCCCTCAGGATGCAGGGGCAGGGGGCTTCTTACCCGGCACACGAAGCACTCGGGATGCCAGAGGGTATTGAGGGCCGAGATGTAGTTCTCCAGGATGGCCCGGGCGCAGCCGCCGCACTTGGGCGCGAACATGTCGAAGTAATCCTTCCGGCAGTAGGCCTTGCCGTCTTTCTCATGGAACCCTAAGGAGCAGGGGTTGGCGGGGCAGTTAGGGCCTCCAGAGGCGGAGCCACCCTGACTCCAACATCAGCCAAGTCTCCCACCCGCAACGCGGCCGCAAGTTAGTCTGCTGGTCAGTACCTTCAGGACCAAAGAAGGCGCCACACTGGGCACAGAAGAAGTGCTCGGGGTGCCACGTCCGGTCAAGGGCTGTCACCACTTTCTGTGAAAGCAAAGTGTGGGATCAGAGCCAAGCTGCCGCCCTAATGGAGAGATCCCACGACTGAGATGCACAGGCAAGACTGTCCCTCCCGCCCCCACCCCCACCCCCAGCACACTGCCAAGAAAGAGCAAAACACTCCCAAGATTGGGGTCTCTCCTCATTGTGCTCTGAATACCACTGAAATTCCAATTTATTGAAGGATGTGTCATGCCAGACACACTCTCTTTAATCTTTACATGGGGTCAAGGTCATAGGTTCTATTGTGATTCCCATTTTATAAGTGAAGAAACTTGGGCTCAGAGAGGCTAGGCATTTCCCTCACGTCACACAGCGGGAGAGTGAGGGAGCTGGCATGCCACTCCATTTATCCAGGCAGGGCTCCTAACCTCTGGGAGTCTCCGCAGAAGGCAATTCGGGATGGGAGGTGGAAGGGAGGTGGGGCTGCTTAACGTGCATCAGGCCTGGGTTTGAATCCCAGCCCTACTGTTTCCTAGTTGTGTGAGCTTGGGCATGTGATGTGACCTCGCTGAGCCTCAGATGGCACCACCTGAACCCTCACAGGGTTGTAATGAAGATGAAATGAGCCGACTCATTCAGCTGCCCCTCCCTGCCGTGCCCCAGGAGCTCACATCCAGGATGGGACCATTGCAGTAGTAGCAGCGCGGAGAAAAGAGGTTGTGATAGTCCTTTTCACAGTAGGGCTGTCCATCCCGCTCAAAGAAGTTTCGGGATCCGATCTCCTCCTGGCAGTGGGTGCAGACGAAGTGCTCCGGGTGCCATGTCTTCCCCATGGCGGTCACCACCTGAGGAGGGAGGGGGAAAGTGGCTCAGCCCTGGCCTGCCACAGAGCACCCTCTGGAGAGGAGCAAAGGGCCCACCTGCTGCTCCCTCCCCTGCCCCGCCCCCACCCCGCATCACCTGCCCGGCGATGGGCTTCTTGCAGGCCCCGCAGACCCCTTTGGCGACAGTGGCGACCCCCAGTTTGTTCAGGTCGGATTGCAGGCTCCCCAGCATACTGTCTAGCTGGCTCCCGGGCTTTGGGGGTCCCCCTGGGGGAGAGCTGCTCCCCGTCTTCCCCTGGGCCATGAACTGTGGAGACAAGGAGGGAGGACGGGTCAGGACTTCTGGGCTTGGGGACGGTGTCTCACAGCGCTGCGGCACTGGGGGCTCTGCTCCCTCCTGGACAGAGGGGCTGACTGAGGCAAGAAGTGCAACCTCCTCCAGGGGCCTCAAGAGCCCTCAAGGTGAGAGCGGCATCCGCAAGACGTCCTGGCGGTCAGAGGGGCTCAGAGCACCCCGCTGGCCTGACCAAGGCCCGGGAAAACACGGCAAGCAGGACACGGAGCCCCCAGCCTTGGCACTGACCCCTCCCTCGTCCTGCCCTTCGGGACTGCTTTGCCTGCTGTTCGGAGGCCAGCCAGCCGCCCAGCACAGCTCTCCATCCGCTCTTTGTTCCAGGCCCTGGACCTTAGATAGGGGAGGAAACGAGGATAAGAAATTTTTTTTTAATTAAGGAAGAAAAGAAGAGAGACCTTGTTATTGGACCATTTCACAAAAGGGAATTTAGGATGAGATAAGAGGATTTTTTTTCCCCTACTGGCAGTACCAAAATCAGAAGAAAAAGTCTAGAAAAAAACAACCCAGAGAGAGAGGCCCAGGGAGTGACGCAGAGGGAGAGGGAGATGAGCCAACCAAAGGCATGGGACACAGGAAGGACAGGTGACTGGGCCAGAAAGCAGAGAGGCCTCCAGGTACCAGGCCTAGGGTCCACGGGAGGAGGAAGAGGTTGTGGTTTCCCTTCAGAGACTGGCTTTCTCAGACAGGGCCTGGGGCAGGACTGAGGGGTGGCAGGAAGGGGCAGGCAGAGGGAAGCCCCATGGGGCAGCAGAGGACAGCTGACATCCCAGGGATGAGAGAGTGGACATCAGGTTAAGTGAGAGTCCAGGGTCAGGGCAAGGTCTAAGGAAGGACTATGGTCTGTGCCAGGCTTGTGGACAGAGGGGCAGAGATTGTGTGTGCACATGGCTTGGGCAGCAGGACGGGGACAGGCAGGGGCAGCACTGGGGCCCCAGGAGGCCTGCCTGCATCGGCGGGAAGAGCGGGTCCTCGTCAGTCTGGCAGCCCACAGACCTCCTGGTGTGGGGCGCAGGAGGGGGAGGGGTGGGGCCCTGCTCATCGTCTTCCCGGGGCCCTGTCTCAGCACTCTGGACCCCAAGGGAACCACAGGTGAGAGCTGAGGGCCCCAGGATGGAGGGGGCAGGCGGGCTGGCCTGGGGAGAAGAGCTGCTGGCCGAGGCGTCTTTGCGATGCTGAAGCAAAGGGACAGGAGGAGGAGGAGCCCGAACAGAGAAGGTTCTTCTCAGGGGAATGGGAGAGCCCGGAGAGAAGACAACCTGGGAAGAAGAAAGGAGGGAGAGAGACAAAGAAAGTGGAGGAAACATCAGCTCAGCGAGCAAGGACACAAAGAGGTGACATTCCCAGGCCACCCTGGGCCTCCCCACTCTGGCACCCACAGCGAGGCCAGCCTCACAAGGCCACAGGATGCAGGACCCCCACACACACCAAATCTCCCCTCTGGTCAGTGCTGGGGAAGAATCGGGGCACCTGCTGCCCTGGCCCTGGCCATCTCCTGGCTACCTTCTCTACAAGCTGCCCCCCGGCCCGCCTCCCGCGTGGCTGCACAGTGATGACGACGCCCTCGGTCAGCCAGTCCTCGGCGGAGAGCCCTGCTGCCCCCGCTGCCTCCTCCGCCTCCGGCTGGATGCCCAGCCGACCCTGCAGCTCTGCGATGAGCCGCTCCTGGGATGGGGTCCTGCTCAGGGTGGCAGGGTCCAGCCGGCGGCGAGGGGAGGGCTCCCGGGACATGGGGTGTGCGTGGCCTGTCTCCCGGCTCCTCCTGATCACGGAGCGGATCTGAGGGGGGAGGGGGAGGCTGTCACAGTCCCCTCTGGGCTCGGTCCAATGCTGCTCAGTCCACACTCAGGTGCCCAGGGAAGGGAAGGCAGAACAAATCCACTAGAGAAGAGCCAAGCTGAGGTCGGGTGGAGGCAGGGGCACAGCAGAGTCCCTTCACCCTGTGCTCACCTCCAAGGCAGCACTGACCTTGGGCAAGACACTTCACTTCCGGGGCCTCAGTTTCTCTATCCTTGAAATGGGGTTACAGTATTTTCTTGGCTACCTTACAGGATTATTACAAGAATGATTTGAGAGGATGTTAAGTGGACATTCTTGAAAGGGCATGAGGCTTTTTCTTTCTTTCTTTGATTTGTAATAGAAAAATGAGGTCTTTCCCTCCAGTAAATCTTTTAACCAGTTTTTTTTGTTCATATTACAGCCTATTTGTTTGTAGCAGTTTTGTTGTTGTTGTTTTGTTCTGTTTTTGGAAAGGGCATAAAATTTTAATCAAGTAAGAAGCAAATAATAACAGTAACATCAGCCATGGCTTGAGGACCGTGTGCTGTTTTCTAAGCACTTTCCAGGCATTATCTCATTCAGTCCTCTGGACAACCTTGGGGGAAAATGGTCTCTTGTTACCCCTACTCTAAAGATGAGAAAACTGAGGCTAGTGGGGGTTGCCCAAGGTCACACAGGCAGCAAGTGTTGGAGGGGTGGTTTGTATTCAGTTCTTTCTGGTTCCAAAGCCCACGCTTCCAACCATTTCGCGCACATCACATCAGGATGAAGGGGGAGCTCATCTAAAAGCAAAAGCCTTAGACAAGCAAGAGGTGGGTTGTCACTAAGAGAAATTCTGGGGCCCAGGGAGGTCCACTGGCCCCACAGATCCCACTGCCGAGTGCTGGTCGTCAGGGCCACAGGCCACGGTCTCCCGAGATTTGCTGCCCAAGCAGACATGCGCAGAGTGGGAGGCTGCATGCGGTTAGCCAGGAGTGGCCCACACTCAGGCCTGCCAAGGGCCATGCCGAGCAGCCGTGCGAGCTTGCGCCTGCCTGGCCAGAGGTGGAAATCCTCTCATTGGTGCTGGGTGTGTCCATGACCACGGCACGTGGAAGCTCTGGCTGTTCCCTCTTGGCCTCGGCAGCAGCTTTGGTGGTGCCCTCTGGCCTCCTGGGGGACTCAGGTCCCGGGGTTGGCCTGACCAGGCTTCCCTTCATGGCCGTATCTCCACCTAACTGCACAGCAACTGGGGCAGGGCAGCTGCTTTCCGGCTCCCCTGGCTCTGGCCTTGCCCTCTCCTTCCTCTGTCCATGCTCCTTCATGAGACTCCAGGTATCTGGGAAGACAGCCTGACGGTCCACGGCCTCGACAGCTGGCTCGGTTACTCCCTGGAAGCTGGGCATAGCTCCGTGGGGAGTCTCAGGCCTGAGTGCCTCCAAAGCCCACGGCTGCTCCCAAGTGGCAGCCACAGCTTCCTCTGGGTACAAAGGGCTGGTCAGCGGCACCTGGGGGTCTCCAGGCTCCTGGGGACCTGCACACCCAGCCTGGGGTAGAGTGTGGCAGGGGGGAGCCCTGGAGAGCTCACTCATGAGGTTTGGTAGGTCCCTCCAGACTTGAGCCTGGCTCTCTGCACCAAACGACCCCAGAGAACCCTCTGCAGAGGGAGATCTTGAGTTGGGGGTATCAGGTGTTACCCCGAGGCCAGCCAAATCAAGCCAGCTGGGGGCCACAGGAGGTAGAGGGCCCCATCTACTATCCTTGCCCTCAGTGCAGAGGACCTGCGGGGCGTGACTGTGGCCTCCAGGGGAGGGTTTAGCAGTGGATGGCAAGAATACAGAGGGCCCAGGAGGACGAGGAGAATGAAGTATGTGGTGTGGGGATGGAGTTGAGCTGGGCGGCAGCCCCAGGGCACTGGAGGCCACAGCAGAGGAGCTGGTCTGGAGGAGGAGAAAGACAAAAGGCAGAGAGGAGAGGAGAGAGAGATGGGAGAGGTGAGAAATGAGGCTTGCTGCAGGGGGTAGGCTCGGCCTTAGGGCTCTGAGAGCCACCAGCTACACTGACCATGGTGCCTAGGAAGCTGAAGCACAACGACTGGCAGTCAAAGAAGACCCAGACCCCCAAAAAGGTCTTCCTGGACTCCACATCCTTGGCCCCCATCAAATCCAGGCAGCAGGAAGCAGCTACTGAGCCACGCCTGTGGGGCCACCCAGAGTAGGTTGGAGGGAGAAGAGGCTTAGGTGAGGTGGCCTATGGGGAGATAGGTGACCATGGGGAGACGGGTGACCAGGGAGGTCAGCCCAGGCACCAAGCAAGGGAGAGGCAGCTGCAGGCAGCTGCCTGCCTCCTCCAACCTCGGCTCAACTCTGGGCTCTGTCTCTTCCAGACAATGCCAGCTTTCCTATGTCCCCCAAAACTTTGCTCTAGGGGCACATCTAGAACCAGCACAGCTTCTCATGGGGCCTGACGAGGCTGGCTGTCTCAGAAAGCAACCACCACCTAAAGGGCGTGGGGGCAGGGCTCCCACAGGCCAACACCTGAGACCTACTGACTTGCTTCTGACCGTGGCTGCTCAGAACAACCCGCACAGAAGGGTCACAAGCCCAGGCTGCCCCACGCCCCATCGTGTAACCCCAGCTGAGGGGAGGCTTGGAGACACCATCAGGGCCAAGAGCACTCGACCGCTGGCTCCCCATCTCGGATTCCCTAAGTATGCCCCAAAGGTCTGGGCCGACCCACATGGAAGGGTGAAATCAGCAACTGTTGGCAAGTTCAGTCAATATCAAATCCGTGGAGGCCCTGCATCCTCTAAACAAAACATCCCGGGTCTGGCAGACCTGGGGAGGCCCGGGAGGGGAGGTGGGGTCACCTCATGCAGGATTGGCCCAGTAGCTGACGGGTTAGGTTTCCCACAGACAGAACTTGTGGGGACTCAGAGGCCCCTGGAGGGAGAGGGAGAAGGACGAAGGGAGGCTGGCGCAGGAGGCCTGTGGATTCAGGAACCAGAGGCAGAAAGAAAGAGGACGTGTTGAGGACAGCCAGCGTGGGAGATGGGGCTCCAGGGCAAATGACCTCTCAGGGACAGGATCCCAAGGCCTACATGGCCCAGCAGAGAGGGCCCTCCCCCACCAAGAGCAGCCATCAACACAGAGCCCTTTGTCCCAGCCTCCTGATCCCCTCGCCTGGGTGGCTGGGAGCTGGGAGCCCCGAGGAGGAAGGAATGTCCCTGCTGCACACTTCTCTGCCTTCACAGGCTGTGAGGCCGCTCAGTCCCCACACAGCCTGGCTGGCAAGGCCAGGGCACTGAAGAGTCCCTGGCTCAGGGAGAAGCACCCAAACACCGAGGAGCCAAGTTCCAGCTACTCACACTGAGGTATGGAGGGAGAAGGGGGGAGTCTGAGGGGACAGGGCATGGAAGAGGAGGGGCCTCGGGGCACCTTGAAATCCGACAGCGAGGCCATCAGTTCGTCCAGCTCCCTGGTGGCAGAGGAGGCCGAGATGCGCGTCTGCTGCTGGCTGGAGGTGACTCGCTGAGGGCTGCTCATCTCGCCCTGGTTCACAGTGATGGCGGGGCTGCAGGGCAGGCACAGCATCAGCGGGAACCCCAGAGTCCAGGCCCATGCTCCCCTGGAGTGGCCCTCCCCTCCTCAGCGGATCAACATCTCAGCTCTGACACTGGGGTCCTGCCACCCCCAACCCCGGGGAAGCCCACTAGCTCCCAATATCTCCTGGGGACCCATCATTGGGAGGGGGCTGCTGTCAGCTAGGGGACACAGTGCTGAGGTAAGCTGCCACAGGAGAAGAGAGGGCAGCTCAAATGGCACCTTTCCCAGGAAGACACTTCTGGCCCTCCTAGCCCAAGTTCAAGCCTGCCTGTTAAACAAGCCCGAGCACCCTGTGCATCTTCCACTACACTGTATGTATATGTGAGATTGTTCTAACAACATGGTAACACTGAGAAGAGCTAACATTTAGTAAGCACTTGCCTTATGTATTATGTGCTATGAGCCAGAAACCATTCCAAGTGCCTTACGTGTGTTATTGGCTTTATCCCCACTACCCCATATCCATTTACCCATTTTACAGATGGGAAAACTAAGGCTTGAGAGACGACACTTAGTAAAGGTAGAACCAAGATATGAACCCTATTATGTGGCTGCACAGCCTGTGCTGACAGCCACTAAGCTACGTGTGCCCAGGGTATCATGACGTCCGTCTTGTCTGATGGATGGTGGCTCACTGAAGGCAGGGATGGGATCCGTGTGACTCACCACTATCCCCCAGTGCCTGATGCAGGGCCTGGCAAACAACCAGCACTTGCAGAGGGGACAGGTGACACCAGGGCTAAGTGGGCAGACACTGGAGCATGGGCACTGGCTGGGCAAGACCTTCCCCAGCCTGGGAGAGCCCAATGGATACTCACACGGGGCTGGGCACGGAGCTCTCCAGTTCATCCAAGAGACTCTCCACGCTGGGCCGCACGTCCTCCAGGCCCCGGCCCCCGTTCCGCTTGGGCTTCTCTTTGGTCAGGGGCCCGGCTTGGCCCCCTAGCGGGCTGTTATTCTCCGCGATGCCATAGTGGGGGCTCAGAGCCCCGGGTAGCGCGGGGCTTGAGTTGGCCTCATCTTGGGAAAGGGAGAGAGAAAGGCTGCTCAGCCCTAAGCCCTCCGGGGATCCAGAGGCCATCCAGGGCCTGGGGGGTCTGGCAGGCCCCTGCCCCAGGGACCCGGTCCTACCTGAGGGGAAGCCGGGGGCGTTATGCTGCACGGCATTCAGTTCCAGCAGCAGGCGGTCGAGCTCGGAAAGGTTGCTGCCCAGAGAGGAGCTCATCACAGTGGGTGAAGGCTCAGCCGACTTCTGCTTGTTGGGGAAGCTTTGAGACGCAAGGGGAAGACAACAGTCAGAGATGCTCCCCAGCTTTGGTGGCCCCCAAATTCTCAAGGAGAATAAGGCGGAGTCTCCCCCAGCAGGAGGATGGATAGTGGGGAAGGGATGTGGTAAGAGGAGGGAGGAAGGAAGTCTTGCCTCAGTTCCTCAGCTCCCCAGGGTGATGTGACAGCCCAGCCCAGCCGCCGCATGGAGGGGGCAGCGATGAGGCCACTGGAGACAAGGCCAGTCAAGAGGCATTATGAGCTGGACAGGAGCCTCGGGGCCTTCCGCAGTTTAACCCAATGACCCTGAGGTGGGACCCTCCTCTGGCCATTGCCATGCCTGGTCCCTGGCCTCAGCTGCCTCCAGCACTGCCGGTCCCTGGGATTTCCAAGCAGGAGGGGAAGGTGTGCGGGGAGGGGCTGGGGAGTACCTGTAGACGTGCTCTTCCTCACCAGCTCGGGGACACGGAGGGCCCACACTGTCCTGGGGGACGGAGGCACTGGAAGTTTTGGCACTGGAGCCGTACACGGGCGATGGGGACTGAGGCTGTGGGAAGAAGAATGCTCAGAGCCTCCTCTGAGGGGAGGAAGAGGAACAGCCCAGTCACCCCCAGGAGGCTCCTACGCACAGCCAGTCTCACCAGGGAATTTCCACACTCTGGTCGGGAGACAGGTGATTAACACTTGGTCACTGCCCCCCTCACGTGGCGTCTGGCAGGGAGCGCCAGACGTTGCCTGGCCCCTCTCTCCATTCCCCTGATCCCATTTCTCTGCTGGCTCTCCAACCCCCTGCCAGACAAGCTCCTTTTACCCCAAAGCCTCTGGGGGCCTCCAAGCCTCTGTCCCCACCTACCTGCTGGTGGATGAATTGGGAGGCGCTGGGCTGCCACTGGTCTAAGGGGTCAAGGATGGTGCCATTGAGGGCCTCGCTGGATGGGGGTGGAGGGACAGGGGGTGGCACGGCAATCTCCTGGTATGTGTGGTTTCCAGTTGGGTATGAGTAGGGGGTCTCCTCCGACAAGAACACAGGCCGTTTGGAGATGTGGGAGGTGGTGGACTCCAAGTCCGCCAGCAGGGCGTCTACAGAGAGGAGGCACGAGGAGCGGGTGAGAACCAGGGATCCCAGGAACTCTCCAGTGGTAGTACCCTCCCTTCCTGCACCCAAGAGCTAAGAACTTCTGAGCACCTGCCCCACCCACAGGAGAAATGACCAGCCTCAGGACAGGATGATACCAGCCCAGAGCAGCCTAGCTAAAAACAGCTCCCAAAGCCGACCTCTTCTCCCCAGCCCAAGACTGGGGGTGCTCTGGAGGCTCCAGGGGCTGCCCTTGGGCTCTCCTACCTCTGGGAGCCAGGCACCTGGCTCTGCGTTCCCTCCCGACACGGCTGTGCAGCTGGCTGGCTGGGAGTCAGAAATGCCTGCCTGGAACTCAGCACTCAAAGTCCGCAGGGCAAGGCGGAGAGAACGGGCAGGAGGGGCCCCACGTCACAGGGAGGGGCCCAGGCAGTGCCAGGTCCCACTTACTTTCCAAGAGCTTAGGCTTCCTCAGCTCCCAGACTGGAGAGGCTGCTGGGGTGGCACCTGCCTTCCAGACCAGGTAGAAGCAGAACCCCAAGCTCCCAGCTCCTCCCGAGGCTCTGGGCTATGGGGCGAGGTGTATGGGAAGGTGGGGGCTGGAACGAGGCTGATGCAGTATTCCCCACCCCCTCGGCCAAGCAGGGGGCCAGGACTGCTCCATAGGCTGTTTCTGCAGCAGCCTGGCAAGCAGCCTGGCCCCAAAGGCTCCAGGGCCCCACTATTCTGCTTTTAACAGCAACAAGGGAGCCGAATCAGCCCTCAAGTGCAAGATTCCATTACCTTGGCACTGGGCAGCCAACAGGGGGGCCCTGGAGCTCCCCAGTCTCCAGACAAGAAGGGTATAGCTCGGGGCGGGGTGGGGGTAGGAACTCCCTTCCTGGGACCCTCAACAGCCCTACAGTCCAGAGAGCCTGGCCCGATACCACACCCTCATTCTTGCCATGCTCATGGACTTGCTCCCTCTCACCTCCGGTGACCTACTGGGGGTCAGGGAATGTTCAGCCCCTGGCTATTATCCCTTGAGATAATAATCATCAGAAAGAAATGACTGTATTTATTGCCATTTGCTAGTAACAGGAATCCATGCTAGGCACTTGGCATACATGGTCTCTCAGTTAATCCTCCTAATACCCTATGAAGTTGGAATTCTGATCCTCCCTTTACAGATGGGGAAACCAGCTTCAAGAGGTGGTGGGACTTGCCCCAGATAACAAAGCCAGTGAGTGACAGGACTGACTCCTCAGAAGCCCCAAACCCCAAAAATCTGGCCTGGAAGAGGCTGCTGTGACCACAAGATGATGCCATATTCAAACGGTACAACTTCCTGAGTGACAGGGCCTGAGCTCCGAGGGCTGTCTGTCTGATCCTTCCTTGTGGGTGTGTCCCCAACCCCACCCCTGCTCGGAGGAAGTAAGAGGGAGGCAAGGCCCACACCCAGGGCCTTGGTTTGTGGGCCCACACCTTCTCCCAGCTGCCTGTCCTGATCTCCTACCCCCAAGGCCGGCCACACCTACCCCAGGCTCCTATCCAGCAGGTCACAGGGGAAGCTTGCTCCAAGGCCCAGGACCCCAGGGCCAGCAGCCTAGCACAGGTCTCCCAGACTTCAGAGAAAGATCAGTTCCTGCAGCCCCCTCCCCCTCCGAGTCCTTGGGAAGAGCTCTAGCTTCCTGTCTCTAGCAAACAGGAACTAGAGGGAGTCAGTGTGTGTCTAGGTAACAGCAGAAAAGGAACCAGTGTCCAGGGCCAATCCCAGTGGCCTTTCCACAGCCACACCTGCTGTCTTGGCTTCACACAGCGTCTCCATTTCCTCCGGGCCCAATTCAGCAGGGGGGGCGCGTGGGGGGGGTCCCTCCTCCATCATGGGCAGAGCCAGCTCCCCAGAGCAAGCAACAAGTGCAGCCCTGGTAGGGTACGGATAACAGAAGCTGCTGTCAGGCTTGAACGCCCACCACGTGCCAGGAGCTTCGCCTGTGTTACCTCCCTTCCTCCTCACAAGGACACTAGCACAAATGGGGAAACTGAGGTTCCGAGAGGCAGAGTCACATCCCCACACTGCCAAAGCTGACTGAAGTGACACAGCTGGGATCTGAACTTGGGTCTCTCGGGCTCCAAACACTCAGTAGACGACAGGTGGTTAACCTTCCCACCACGTCACACCTTCTGAGTGGGGGACGCCACTGCCCTCTGCACCAAACACCCTCCCCCTCACTCATGACCTGACTCTCAGTCTGGCTTATTGGTTTATGGCCTGGATTCTGGTTTATGATTTCAACAGGCTCTTTTCAACATGGAAACATCTTTGGTTGGAAGGAGCAGTCCTGGGGGACAAAGATGACAAGTTGTGGAGTCGAGCCAGACCTGAGTTCAAGTCTCAGCTCCTCTATCCGTGGCCACAGAGCAGACTGCTTAGGTTCCCCGAGCCTCAGCTTCCTTGGGAAGCCAGGGTGCATAATTCCTACCTCACAGCGTTGGTGTGGGGTTTGTATGGGACAGCAGATGCTATAGTACATGGAAAGCTACAAACAGATCTTATCTGCTTTGTGAAATTCAGAAAAAGGTTTTCCTCCGAGGAGACTGGGGTGGGATGCCAAGTACTGACTTCTCCTCCTAAGTCTTCTATGGGTAGAATCTGGGCAAGGCATGAAAAGGGTGACCTTCAAGAGAAAAGCAAGGCCAACCCAGTGGCGCAAGCAGTTGAGTGTGCCCTCGATTCTGCAGGTTTTTGCCTCTCTGGGCCAGCCTCTGCAGGCTCTGCCACTTCCATCCACAGAGAAGGCAAAGCCGAGGTCTCTGGGTGAGTCCCTCCAACATGTATGCCCAGGGGAGGGGTTCTCCTCTAGCAGCTGGGAGCGAGGGGGCTGAGCACAAAGCCTCCAGCCCATCAGGGGCAAAGGCCACCCAGCCATGCCCTGGCGACGAAGGGGTGCGGACCATCAGCCACTGCCCGCCAGAGGGCGCTATTGGCCCGTGGGCTCCCTGCCGCGGGAGTAACCCAAGGTAACCTAAGGAAACACGGAATTTTCGTGCCAGGGAAGACCAGGGAGCCCCCAGCCACGGTGCACTGGGAAAGTCTCAATGCCGAGAAAGCTCGGCTGACCTGGAGGGACGGAGCAGGCTACGGAGAGGAGCGCGACGGGGCTGAGTGCCACGCCTCCGGCTCGTGCCTGAAGCACACTATCATTTGAAGGCGCGACCAAGAGTGACGCAGCCATGGGGCTCCGGAGACCCACAGGGACGCGCGCCCCGGCTGCCAGCGCCCCCTCCGCAGACGCAGCGCAGGGAGCCCCTGTCCCCACCCCGCGGCCGCGTCTGGGCCCAAACGGGCCGCTCAGACCGGCAGCGGCTTTTGGCCGGGAGGCCGCCACGGGGCAGGCGGCTGGGCAGCATGGTCCACCGGGGGCAGGCCGAGATGAGACCCTCCCCCGGGCCCCAGCCACTGGCCGAGCAGAATTCTGAGGGCGGGGTGGGAGCAGCAGGGTCTGCAGCCGCCACGAAGTTAAGACGCAGGCGTCCCGATCGCTGCTCTGGGAGGGAGGGCACCTAGGGGCCGGTCTGCCCGCATTCCAGGGCGAATGCCGCAGCTGCGCCCCTCGCCCCTCGCATTCCCAAACCAGCCCAGGGGCGCAGGCGGGAACCCCAGACCCCCTCATGCCCCAGTGTAGGGGATGTCTCCCAGATTGCGGCTCTGGGGACCTAGGCTGACCCACTGACACACAGCACCCAGTAAGTTAAAGAGAATCAATGAACCCCTTCCACCTCTACCCCCAATAAAAAACAAGTCAGGGCTCTTTCAAAGGCCTGGCTGCTTCCTCCTGCCCAAGCCCAGCCACTTCTTAGTATGTGATAAAGACTGTCAAGACCAGAGGCCTAGAGCTGGACAGATGACAAGAGAGTGAGATAAAGGTCCATCCAGGATCCCAAGAGAGCGAGGGAGGGAGGGAGGGAGAGGGGGAGAGAGAGAGAGAGAG